TGAAAAAAAAAATCGGCTATAAAAATAAAATCTAATATTTTTTTTATCACGTCTTTCAACTACCGGACTGTTCGACTAATAATAAATATTTGATATGATCTGAACGTGTATATGAATCCGAATAAATGACTAAATGCGATATTATCCTTTCATATCTATGTACAAAATAATGATGATGATGATGTTGAGAAAATAACACAAGACAGTGAAGTCGACAAACGAACTTTTGTACAGAAAAAAATTATGTTACTACAGAACAAAATGAAATAAAAAACAGCGTTGAGGAGAAATTTTCCGGATATTAACGAGAGAGTGAAATTAAAAGCACGAAAATTACTGCAGTATTGAGAGAGGAGAGTGAAAAATCTATTCGGAGCTTTTAGAGAAAAGATGATCGGCAACTTCATTCCATCTAAGATACGATAGAGAAATGAGACCAAACTCATTTCTATTATTACAGTTGTGATGTTAATTTATCAGTGAACTGTTTATGTGCATTCCTCCTCACCCACATTGATTTGAATATTGGATATTTTCTTATCGTTTTATTAAATGTATTACGAATATACATGATTGTTCGCAAAAATTGACTTATCATATATGGCTGTTTTTACTCGAAACTCGATAGTCGAAAAAAATTTCTGTTGTAAACGATTCCTACCAACTGTTCACCTGTTCATGTGTCAAAAATTGTTAATATTTTGGGGGTACGAATTTGTATTATGTTGCACAAGAGACTATTAAGTCTGTATTTTTTATTAGCGATGAACATATTTACAATGTACTGTTAAAGTAAATCTATATTGAAATATTTTGTGGTTTTATGGCAAATTACAGAAATTGTTCTTGTTTTAAGTGTAAATATTGGTGAGATTACAACATGAACATTATTCGATCTGAAGTTTTGGTAAGTAAAATAAATTTTTTAACAGAAATCAACAGACGTGGTTTCGATTTCAGTGGTTATTATTCCAACTTAATTGTTGTTCTTTAAGCAATTATGTCAATTGAAATTTCAACAACACGAATACAATAAAAATTAAATTAATTAGTTTGACTTTGAAAAGAAACGTCGTCGTTTGAACGAAAATAAAAATAATTATTAAGACATACCTGAAAACATTAACTTGGAATTTATTTTACTAAGTGCTTGAATTTTTTTTAAAATTGATTCATTATTTTTCAGAAAATATAGAACAAACAAAAATGGTTTGCTAGCTCTGCTGGTAAGACAAAGATCACAAAAGTTGGTGTTTAATTTTTACTTACAGGTTCAAATCCTACCATCAGCCTAGTGTTTATTCAGAAATGAAGATACTTTGGCTTCTTACGTGGAGCAATTGAAGACGTGTGAGACGTACGAAACGGTCAAGAATTATGGAGACAGAATGAGGACGATAAGAGAGCCGTAAATTCACCATGAAGGGTTTTTACTTGAACGGACCTGGAGACATTGTAAACTATTGAAAATTTGAACGAGTTGTTACATAAGCTCAAATTCTAAGGTCTAAAATTATTAATTGAATTCTGAACACATTTATTAATGTTAAAAACAAAATTGTAGCGCTTTAAGGTTCTTGTTGTACAATTTAAGATAAATAAATTAAATTTAAAAAAAATTTATTGATAAATTTGTGAATCTCCTAAAAATTGATTTTTTTAAATTCATTGACAGGATTTTTAAATTTTGTAAGAAATCATTTGTTTCTTCTCACACGACCCCATTGTATAAATATATTTTATTTGCATGGAATTCTCGACATTTATTGAGCATCTTTTTTAAATAGCAAATTGATAAAATACTATCCTACTCATTATTCATCATGACCAAATGTTATGGTAACAGTTGGAAAGACTAATTGGAAATGGCACAATCTGCCTTCTGTCCATTTGTTTGTGTTTCATTCATTGTAGGATAGTAAAATTATACATAAAGGAAATTTTACATCAAAACATTTGAATTGTATTTTTCTCATTTATCGTTTAAATTCTACCTTTGTTTAATTCTACAACACGAATGATGTATAAACATTAAAATTATCCAAAGGATATTTTTTATCTCAAATTATTCAAATATTTACTCATTGAATTCTCTTATCAAATTTTGTTTTATTCATGATGATAGAAAATTGTGAAAATAATGGAACTTGGATCACTTATGTGTTTATTAAATCTTATAATTCGTAAAAAATTAAGGTGAGGAAAAAATAAAATTTTATACAGATTATTACCCCATGAAAAGCATAATATTAAATTTAAACCACCAAAGTTGTTATAAACTCATTTCAGTAAATTCCATAATTGAATACATTTTAAGTGTCATTGGAAAGTTTATTATATATGTGAGTATGTACAAACAATGGAAGAAAGACATGAATCCCATTTTTGTGATCATGAAATTTCTATGCTTCATTCAATATCATGTTGAGCAGAAAGTAAGTGAGTATATTAAATTTTTAAAGAGTTTTTCAAGTTGTTATCTAAAAGAATAAAAAGGTAGATGTATGTGAAATGTCTTTAGCTGTAATTGCGGTTAAGAAACTTGAAAGTTTTCTAAAGTGTATTTGGCAAGAGTCCTTTATAAAGTTTCTTCTAATTTCCTCGCTTTTGATTGTAAATTGATTTTAGTATCGACGGTTAAGTTTTTTTTTGATGAAGCAATGAATTCAAGGATCTTTTTAGATCTTTTCCTGAACAGTTTTACAGAGATATTATTTCAGTTTTGAGACTTTTGATATCTCGAATGAATTCCATGGAAATATTGATTAGTCAATCAATCATGATATTTTTAACGAACAACGAATACACGAAGATATTTTTCACATTGAATGATTAGGTATAGCAGTCCATCACACTAACGATAAATGCCAGTTAATTGAACATAAATGGGGAAGTTAGATCTCCGTGGGGTGCTGTTCTAAGAAAATAATAGACTTTTTTTTCCTGAGGTGAAGAGGTTACATAATTAAAGATAGGTTCATAGTTAAAACAACAATATTGCTGAAATTTTTTTAAAAAATGCACATCAAAAATTCGGTAAATTATTTTAAATATAATTTAATTAATAATCCATTTAAAGTTTTCAAACTTTTTAAATATAGAAAGAAAATGTTTCCAAAATTCAGTTTCAATTATAAAACTTCAAAAAGTAAAGTTTAGAACTTTAACAATGTATTTGTCACACCATATTTTTATACTATGCATCAGTACATAATATGTGATTATATGTTGAGCTATATAGCAAGCATGTTGCTCAAAAACCGTATTTTTACTATCTCATACGAGTATGACTTCTATACGAATGATTTTGTTGTTCGATGATAAAAGATGATCGGGTTTACATATCTGTAGAAAAGTCATATTGATTTTATATTTATGGTATTAAATAAAAATAAGTGATGGATAAGTTTGTACAGACAAGGCCAACATACTACAGATCTATTCTCTTTTAAATTCTTTTTCTGAATTGCTCTCTGTCGGTTGTCTTTCTTTTTCAACTTGATTAGGATTTCCTTCATCATGCCAACCGCAGACAAACAATCATTAAAAACGTATTTTATGATGCAAAAAGTTCTGGCGAAAACATTTCATATTTCTGTCGTTATTCCATGACAATATTAAAGCGTGGTGAATTTTAAATCAAACATTTTATTCATCACTCATTCTTATTTTGAAATACAATAATGACAACAGTATTTTATATTTAATGCAAATTATATTGAACAAAAATAAACTAAAAACAATGGGGTTCTAAAATATCTTACAGAGGTCATCATTTGCTTTAATGAGATACACAGCAGTGTCAACGAAATTGAATGAACATAATTTATTAACAGAAGGATAAGCAACAATTTTCCAAAAGCTTCGCCTTCTTTATAAAAAACAAAGAAAATCGAGTAATGAGAGGTTGATTTGAAATATTGAAACTAAAGATATGCGATTACCACCTAATGCTCAACAATTATTCAGAGAAATATAATTAGGATGTCTTTTAAAAGGCACGAGAGCAACAAGTCAGTTGCCTTTTAAGTTTGCTTAATACAACAAATCACATACACATGTTGATTCACTTTTCGTGAACGAGCGTAATTAGAAATAGTTTATTAATGCGAGTTTAACGACAACTTATTTTAATTAGCTCGGGTTAAGAAAAGAAGAATGAATCATAATTTCTGTCAAAAGTAGGTTTACGAATAATCTTCCTCCACTACATTACTTGTCTATATTTTAACCTCAAGGATATCAAAATTGCTTGAATCTGAAATATGGTATCATATTTCATAAGACTTGTCTTATTTAAAATTCATATGTGAATGAATTAATTAAAATCTAATGATGATATTTTTACATACATTTTTTCATGTATAATTATTTCAGTTTTCAGTTTCTGTCTTTTATTAATTACTTACATCTCTTTCATCATTTATTTGCTTTAATATCACAGAAAATTTGCCACAAATTCATTATTTTATGTTTTTTAATATCTATAATCTATCTAAGAAATCATGCCTTTAAATAATGTTTCATCTTTCGGAATATTTATTTTTTATTTCTTCGCGAAGCTTTTTTAAAAACATTTTTTCTTTAGATAGAATAAATTGATTTTAGATGTTTTTTTTTTAATAAAAAACGTATTTTTTAAATTACGAGGGTCTTATATTGATGCAAAACAAACATTGTGAATCATTTGCAGTCATAAAAGCTCAACTGATGTTTATAATGAGTTTCTATTGATTCAGGACTTTCAATTTGTTCACATATGTTTGAACAAAAAATGGAAAACACGTGCAAATGTGATATAATCACAAACTGTTCGCATGATTTAATATTTTATGAAAATTGAGTAAAAAGCTCACAGTTATATGTTAATGGAAACTGCTGATGAACAATTTTCACTCATTGGCGTCAAGTGTCAAATTAAGAGAGGTCTATTTATAGATGCATAGTTCATGAAAAAGAAGTAATTTTAAACTGAAAAAGAAAATAAATCGAAATAATACCTTGGAATCTGAAGAGCAATCTCGTCCAGACTATCACTTGGATTCATTGGTGTCTTTTCAAAAAGTCTCGAAGGCGCTGTTAAGTGACTTAAATCGGCACGACTTACACGTCGAAAGACTTTAGCGCCACGTCTTTGACGCAATTCGGCTTTTTTCTTTTTCTTATTTGCTTCTTCGCGTTGCAAATTATGTAGTCGAAAGAAGAACATTGACATTCTATATATTTGAAAACCATAAGCATGAAGGCGCGCGCGAATGAGAATTAAAGAAGAAGTTTAGAAAGATTTATAAGCAGTTCGCAACGAAAGCACATTTCTTCTTTTTATTTTCAATGATATTTAAATAGATAATTATAGATAAAGATGAATTGAAATGAAATGGAGTGGAAAGTGGGAGGAATAATAGATTTACACACAAGAAAAGCAATAAAATGTAATCAAAATATCAACTGAATTCAGTTCTTCAGCTGAAGATAAATCCTATCAATAGCAAAATGATAAATTGCGCAAGAAAATTTAGATATTTAAGTTTTAACGGATTTAATGTAATGGAAAAGATTGATAAATTACAACACATTCTACAGTACTTATTGGATTATTCATATATGTTTATTTTGAGAGCTCCAGATTTTTTTAAACGAGTAATCTTATTAATGTTACAAGCAGTTTAAAAAGAACATTCATGCTTTGTTAGCTTCTTTAATAGATGTAGCTCAATGACACGAAAAGCTGTCTAATGACTGTGTTTTATAGTCAAAGCAAAAATTACAATGAAGAATTAAAAACAAACTCAAAGTGACTAGTAACAACTTCCTTTAAATTATATTTGATTTAAATTTAAATGCTTAAAATTCGACTGCTCATAAAATGCAATGGAGTGAAAAAAGTTTCGTTGTATTTAGCTGTAAAACATTTCCTTTCTATCAAATGAAAAATAAAGAAACTTTACTCAACTAATTTAAGTAGTTTTCCTGTATGGGGAAAGTTTTGCAGTCAAACCTATAGACTTTACTAAACATTGTATGAGAGAAGTTTTGTTTTTTGTTGTAAATCATCAGGAGTGTACTTGAAAGTTTTTTCTTAATTACTTATTTAATATGAAACGACTCTGTATATACATTGTTTTTCAGACTAAATAAAAATTATGAATAAAGCGATGCTTTTACATGAAACTTCATGGTTTTATGAAACGAGTAACGTCCAATATATATAAATTCCATTAATGAAATATTTTTCTGAGTTTTTCATTGCAAGCATTTTATTATGAATGAAAAAGATACAATTAATTCATTTAAAATCGCTTTAATACGATTGTCAACTTCCAACTATGCACACATCACATTAATTGTAAAATGATAAAATTATCGATTTACGTGATAAACATCATGCAACAATGAAAGCATTATTATTTTATGTAAGTGAAATAATTATTAATTTAAATTGTGCTGAAAAAGGAGCCAAAATGATGCAGATGACAAATATTGATGATAAAAAAAGTAAGAAAAACTTTTTAATGATGTGACATAAATAGAAATAAAGAAATAACAAGATTAAAAGGTAGATAAATAAAAAAGTGTACCATAAAAAATGGTATATCGTAATAGAAATCAATAAAAGTAAGTGCTCTATAGTTATAGATGTCAATAATAAATGGAGGAAATGATAAAGCAAGTTTCATAAAAAGGAGATAAGAGTAATAAAATAGAAGTTTGCATTCTCTTCAAGTAGCGGTTTTTGAGTTTTCATTCTTCTTCCTTCTCACTCACTCTCAACATAGACTTTTTTTTCTTTAGAAAGAAATCTACTTTGTTCATTCAAAAAAGCATCTAATGTAAATCTCAAGTGAGCTGTACTATAAAAATGAGAGGAGATGAAGATACAGAAGCAATAAAATATTCAAAAGTAAGAAACAGATTACACAGCAAAATAATAATTTTTTGTATTGCAACAAAGTTAAAAGGATTAGAAATGAGAAGCTTTTATGACTTAAAAATATAATATTTATCGGAAAAAGGGACAACTTACAAGCAATTCTTAGACAACAGAATTGTACATCCATCATTACTAACATTATGAGAACAATATGCAATGCACAAAAACATAGAAGGATAAAATTCGTGTGGCAACAGTAGGTGCTTATTCAGTTCTCATTCATGATGCTGATAGTTTTTCAAGGACATCTAAAGAGAGAGACAGCGACATCATTAAAACAGAAATCATATATGAAGAAAAGAAATGAAATTTACGTAATCGTTCCTTTGTAGGAAGATTGTCTAATGCAGAAATACTACAATAGAATGAGTGCAAAATACGGAAATTATTTCCTTAAGATAAACATCTATGTATGAAGGTAGTGTTCCATATAAAAAAATTTTTTAATTAAAATTTATATTTTAATATAAACTACAAACTTCTTTCCACAATTTTAATGCGATTCATATTTAAACATGATGCTCTCCTTTAAAATTTGTCAAACAAAAATATAATTCCGCTCCGAAAAAGACAGTTAGAAAATATCTTATCGAGTCTATCGATCAATTTTGCTTAGATTTTTTTTTATTTGTAAGATCTTAAAAATTCAAATGGTTTTACAGAAACACATAAACATTCAGTACAAAACACTTTTAATGCTCTAAGTGCACAACAATTTATTCAATTGAATAAGGTAAGAAAAGTCTGGATCAATAATATTTACATCGTTAGATGAGAGAATTAAAGCTGTTTTTATTTCATTAAAATCTTCAACAGACATTTAATATGAAAACTACACCATTTAAGCTGTATGCTAAAGGTATTCTGCTTTGTTTTAAAAACATTTAACATTAAATATTTAAAGAAGTAAAAAATAAATCAAGTTTAATGAAATTATAGGAATAAAAAAATTAAAACAGATAATAATAGAGGAGTAAGAATTTTTCTGTTCGACTTTCACTTTACAATAAATTTTCTTGTGCCTAATTTACCTGAACACTTTTTTATTAGTTTACAATAATCCTAAATTGAAAATGATGAAAACCTTTTATTTCGGTTATTTTATTCTCGAGTAAGAGATCAGTCGCTTGGAATTGGTTTTAAAATTGTAAATTTGATTTGGAAATTTATTTTATATTTTAAAAATAATTGATTTGATTATTTGTTTTGTATTAAAAAGGTACGATTTACACAAAATGTTTAATCATTATATGTCGATTATGAAGCACTTTAAAGTTCTTTCGAACAAACTTTTTTTTTATATATTTACTTAATTGGTCAAAGAATTATAGAAAATAAAAAAATACGATTTTTATAGTTGTTAATTTTTCGAAGTCTTTAGTCAAGGTTAGATATAACGTTTTCATAAGAACTAGTTTCTCATAAATAAAATTTAATAACTATTTAAAGCCTTTCCCTTCTTTCAGTATAAAATAATTTTTTTTTCTTCGTTTTTTACATTTGCTCCGTGAAAAATTATAATCATATTTAATAAGGCTCTTTAGTTTGATGCTCGTTTATTTCAAAAACCTTTTCGAGAGGATTCTTCACTGCACCTTTTTACTTCTGTACAACCAATTTTAATAATTTTATATTTCACTTTTCTTTTTAGATTTTTTCAACTGGAAAATTGAGTTTCAAACTGTCGATAATTCAATCAAGAAAAATGGGAAAAGGGGCGAACAAGTTGAAAATGGAATGTAAATAGAGATTAATTTACTAGAGACTCCTCGTCACAATAAAATGATATTTTTGTTTTAAATAATTGGAGTTCGTTTATGAATAACAAGGTATTTCAAATGTAATCAGGTTAAGCATTTTTTGCAATATCTGGACTTCATATAATATTATTTTTGTGATAAATCTTTTGTAAGCATGTTGCCATTTAGGTCTATTGTATAATTATCCCATATTATTTGGAAACAATGGTTTCGAATTTATTTTAATCAAATTACGATTATTCAGCATTCAGACAAATGTAAAATGATTCCTCGTTCTCGTATTCATACATTTTTGCTTTCATCTCGTTAACGTAATGAATAAAGTAAAACGCCAACACGTTGTGGCTAATGTGGAAGTAATATTGACGTATATATCTGAAATTCAAAACTAACGTAGTTATGCAGTTTAAATGCTTTTGCACAGAAAATGCATCCATTTTCAGCATCAAATTGAATATTTATGTACCAGATCGATAGACTTATCAGGCTTTTCCATTAAAATTAATTTTCTCTGTGAACAAAAGTAATGGCGGGGGTTAAATGATCATTCTTAAATCATGTTAACTAGAGACTAAAATTTCTGGATTACTTTTTATGTCACAAAGGTTTTTTTTGGAATAATTTGAAAAATTTCATAGGCAGTCATAGTTTGGGCTTATAAATATGTTATCAACTTTTAAAAAACCTTGATCAATTATTTTATCTATAACCCTTTTTAAGAAGTAAAGTTTTTTTCATCCATACTAGCAAAACTCCTGTCGTCTACATGACGTCGCATATAGTTTATGAAAATTATTATAAACATTGCCATATCAGCATATAACTAATGGCTTTTGTATCTATGCGAATTTATTTATAGATCAAAAAACGTGCAGAATTAAATCTGTAACAATTTTTATTGATAACTAGATTTTAGATTTGAATACTTAGAAACATAAATAGAAAATTTTATTTTATGATATTGTTTTTTATATCAAGAGCTCTAAAAGGAACAATTTCAATTAAAATGGTATTATAATTGAACAATGAGGAATTTTGTATTTTTTTGTAATTTTCTATCCTCTTTTTGGATTTAAAATACTTTATGAATTGAGCAGTAATAAATACCATTATATGTACATACCCAGGAGATTATTATTGAACTTTGGAATAGAATACATCTTTCTTAATGAGTTGTTTCAGAAAATGGATGTTTTGTCCCTACAGAATTTAACTTTTTGGAAGCATGAAGAAATTTTAAGAGGCTTCAGAAACTATGTATGCGAAAAAGACTAGATTGAATTATAAAACTTATGATGAAAGGAAGCAAGACTCCATTAACAATTTTCAGAAAATTCTTCTATAAAAAAATTATATTACAAAGATTTTTCTAGCCAAAATCTTTTATCTTATTCACAGAAATCAACTTATTTCTCGACGTTGATTTATGTCATAATGTTTTCGTGTCCTTGACAGTATTTGAAATAAATTTTTATTATGTTTATCAACAAATCATACGATTTTGAAAACAAGAATAAAGGGCAGTAATAAAAAAGTTTTTTTTACAAAAACATTAAAAGTTTGTTCATTATCATCAAATTTTTAACGCTTTTTGTGAAAAACGAAGGAGTAACTGTCTTTGTTTTATCATTCTACTTAATATCTATTTATTCACTTCCTTAAAATTTAAAAAGTAATCCCTGATGTTTTTTGTAATGTTTCTTAACTGTTTTGGGTCTAAAATTTGCACGAATAAAGATGGTTAGGTTAAGAGAAGAAAAATTCTGAGGATACCTGAAGAACAAATTCTTAGATATTATATTAGCATATTATTATACATTAAGAAAATGCTGTCGCATACTAATGCAACCCCAAAGATATTAACCCTTTTATGGACCCCGATTTTCATGTTTACTTTAAAATAGTAACAAATTAATAAGCATGAAGAATGCGTTTAAACATCAAGTGTATAATATAAATTTGAGGAGAATATGCATCAAAGATTGTATAAAAATATGCCATATTATTTGTTTGCTCTCTACAAATCACATTTAAACTTCTTGACCAAAATACTTCAGCACATTATCATTAAAACCCTAACGGAAGTTAGGAGAAAAAAATTATTAAATACATGTAACATGTACATAGTAAGTACATGTGTGGATATAAATTCTAAATGAGTAATGCATCTTCATATAATGTTGGATTTAATGTTTAGAAATGAAGGTAAATTGCTAAATAATATTACTCTTCATCTACTTTCCTGTTTTTGTTTACGAAATTCTGTAATAAAAATGAAGGTGCGTACAAAAATAAATAAATAATTTGCTTTACATTTTAGGTAAATAAATCTTTTTTCGTCTTATTTATATGCTTGCCTCTTAATAATTCAAAAATTTAAAGTGAGATTGTGTAATGGAACGTATCAAATATACTCTGTAAATATGTTCAAAAATTTCACATAGTACATGATTTTTTTGTTTTTAATTATTTCTAAGAAGTTTTCGTTTATGATTGAATGAATATTTGAGTCCATTTTACATGAAAATTGACGTGGATATGAGAGGTCTATGTAATAATAATAATATTAACCGTATCGATCGATAAGTTTTTCACAACGAATAAAATATAATGAGCAGGGCAAATGCGAATAGATCTTTATAAACAACATACACTTGTCGCAATAAGTAATCGTAATGTTTGTAATCACATGGTCATCGAATTTTCTACTCAAAGGTGGTCAATAATTTGTAAATTAAACATTGTATGTAAATGAAGCAAGTAATTTACTGCCCCCAACACTATCCTTTTATGTTTTTCTTTTCAACTCTAAAATTTTTACAAATGAGACGATTCGTATGTGTAAATGTATACAGAATGTTATAAAAATTTAAATAAATCCTACCGGTGCCTTTTACATTCTTTTCTTTCACATGGTTTTTCAAGCTTTTTACTTTCTGTGGTGAATAATTCAATAATTTTTTATCAATTTTATTATACATAATGTCAGCAGCAACGCTACGATACTTTCTTACTTAGAATGTATAAAATGAATCAAGCCAAACTTGAAGCGAAGAATGGAAAGTTTTTTTTTTATTTTTTTCGTTTCTCAGGATGAAATTAAATTGAATGATTGAAGATTTGTTTGTATATCGTCAAATAACCTCACAGCGATTTTTTGTAAATAAAACACAAATACAACGGAATATATTTACTACAACTGCAAAAAATTCAGAGCAGCCATAATCGATGACTTATTTTGATATTATTTCAAATTCAAATCCTCACGAGAAATATAACAAAAGATTGCGAAATTCTCTTTATCAAAAAGGCTATGGCTTGCATCATATTTTCAATTTGCTATTCATCATTTTGTCTGAAATGTCTTTTCAGAGAAGCACATATTAATGTATTGAAGTTGGATTTCAAAATTTTTAAAGAATTGTAGCGGTGGCAAAATTTTGAGTTCGAAAGCTTTGTCCAGATACGCCGCTGAGTGAGTCTATCGATATATTTTAAAGATATTCTGGTATTGAGATTGAAGAACCATGCTACATTTTCTGAATTTTAATGTTATGATGATTGAACAGAGCAATCCCGTATTTTGAAGTTCTACTTCAGATGGCAACAAACAAATTTGCGTAGGTAAGATCTCGTTGAAGTTTTCTTTAACTTTCAACAAAACACATATTTTGCATTTTCAGCAATAATCTACATAAACAAATATAAACTTTGTGTGGTGGTCGTTATTTTTTTTACTGTAATAGAAAAAAAAATTGTATAAATTGTTAATGGCGCGCATTATCTACTACCAAATGAATTAATTGAGAATCTAGCACGCAATATTATATTCGTTAGATAAGATATAAAAAGTTTTAGTTATCTATTTTTTCATGTGATTGTTGAAGTTGATGGGATAATTTTACTCGCATACTCGAATTTTTAAGACAGTTGTGAATAAGTGATAACTCAATTAAGTTGAAATAAATTACACTTTTATATTTATCTACATCCTTATATCAAATGTCTGAAGTTGATATTGTAATTACTTCCTACACTTGTTTACGACTTTGAAACTCAATTTTCCTCTAGGATTTTTTTTTCGTTAATTATAAATAATCCAATGTTGAAGAAAGAAGAACTTTGATTTACTTTATATACGTATCCAATATTGGTCGGGAATATTTATTTTATTTTTTTTCTGTAGAATTTCTTTCAAAAATTCTTCACAATTAGTTTTTTAATGATCACAAGAATTATTTTCACAGTTAAATTTCACTTATTTTTATTTTGAAGCTATCTTCTTTATTTTATAAAAAAATATAATTTTAGAAACAAATTGATCATATTTCATAGATTTATTTATTTATTTTCACATTTTTGTATATATAAAAAGATATTTTTCATCAGCTATAGCACTGTTAAACACACAAAATAAATTTCTTTCTTCTTTGTATATAAAAAAAGCAGCGATATGATCGGTTATTTATTATATGTATTTATTTTTTAAAGCATATAACAGCGAAACTGATGTTTCAACTCTGACAGCGAGAATTAAACTAAAGTGAGTTGAGTTAACATGAGTTCAGAAATTAATTTGCTGCCAAAGGATTTATATCAAAGAAAGAAAAAAAAGTACGTTTAGGCTGTTCTTGCGATTGTGCAATGTTTGTGCCGATTGAGATCGAACGAACATTTTTCTAAATGAGTTTTCCTATCTACTAATTTCTCCTTTCTTCTCTCATTCTCTCGTTTTCCTAATTTTCGTGAGAACTGCTGCATGTGTAATTCTCGTTTTTCTCACATTTATAGTAACGGCTCATTCGTTATTACAACAAATTTCCGTTGTTTTCATTCTCTCTCACAGTAAATTTAAACTCTGATGAAAAATATCAAAAAGCTCAATTGTTCGTGAAAAAGCTTTCGTTTATTTAATAAATTTCTCTTTTTTCCTTTGTACACTTTTTATATATTTTCTTTAGAACTCTCTGAAACTGATTTTTTTTTTATTTTTGAAAATTCTATCTGCAAACTTGGATGAGGATTTGTATGTACATTTGAAGGTTGTATCTTAATTGATATATGTGAACGAGTTCTTATTTTAGTAATTTGAAACCTTATGAAAAAAAAATCTCCTTAATTGTAATACACAAATATTTCCATCATCGATCTAATGATTAAATGAGTTCTAAAAGACGTACTAGAAAAAACATATCATAACAGAAAATGGAAGTTTTATGGATAGTAATTTTGTGAATTAATAAAGAAGTTGGTAATGTCCATTTACATAAACTATAATTCCCTTAATTCAACGTCATACATTTAAAAATCTTGCATATTCATGAGTTTTGACTAAGTGTAGGATGTGAGAACTATTCATCTTTCCGTTTTTCATATGGCATTATCCTGGCAAATATGCAGTATCATTATTAAATTAATCCTTAGTATTATACAATAAACACTGAGATTGAAACAATGCATGTCTAACTTTATATCTTCCTCATAGAAATTAATTACATCTGACAATTTTGTCATGACTTATATATGAGGAAAAAACTTAGTGAGATATATATAACTTAAATTGTAGTAAAATATAAATGACATCAAATCACAACAGCTATATTTCTTATCATTCAAATAAATGTTTGAAATCATGACTTGTGGTTTACAATCCATCTTTTATTGCTATGACTTTTTACTTCCCACTCATAAATCTAGGGTCTTTAATAAAAATTCACAAAGCCATTAAATTTCTTTGTTGGAAGATAATCATTAAAGAAAAGAAAAAGGACTGCTTAATGTGTTGATGTTGTATATTTATTTTTAGTTCTTTTTGTTTCTCTTCAATTTACTCGCTCATTTTAAATCGATAATTCCTTTTTTAAATTGATACTGAATTTTGCGACATTTTTCTATCTTTAGAATCTCCTGATTTTATATTGAACTTTTATGGATGAGTAAGAAAAATTTATAAATCATACATAAATCTTTGCACTTTCTAATGTATCTTTACACTTCCTTTATAGATGTATTGGAAGAAAATATAAGTAAACAACATACATACAATGTAGTTTACTCTTATTTTCTTGGGAGTTGAACTTAAAAAGCTCATAAGAAATTTAGAATTTCTTCTTTATCGTGTCATATATGGTTGGGCGAGAATATTTATACAGCACGTAAAGTAAACTTCGAAGAAATCGATTTCAACGTGAAATGACAAACATCGAAAGAGGGATAAGGTTCCATAAAGTAAAGTATAAGTGACACAAAAGACTATATTAAAGTTAAGTCAGCACCATTAAAGCTTCAATGTTCGTCCTCGTCGTCTTGTTCCAATTCTTTAGAAGTAATAAAAAAATAAATATTTTTTTTAAATATCTACAGTCAAATTGGAATAGTATCGTGAGTGGCACAACTAGATTTCACCCTAAGTATTTGGATATTTAGATATGGTAACACTCTGTGTATTTTTCCTATTCATTTAATTTTTGGCGTTTTCATTTCACAAAATAGAATTTTAATTCAATGATAGTCACGAAACATTTAATTCTATCCTTTAAAGAAGAGAAATTCAGAAGAATTTTCCTTTTTTTAAAAAAAAATCTAATTAGAAAAGTTTTCCAACTGTTTGAATTATCTATGAGTTTACGTCATTGTCAACTTCTGTTGCCAATTTGTCTTTATGCTTATTTCACGCTTAAGTTTTTTGTATGTAGCTCAGCAGGAACTTTATTCATATGGATAGGTATGAATAAGCAGCATGATTCTAAATAATTTTTTTTTTCAATAGCGCACTAATAATACAAGCTCATCATTTGACAGTCAGCTAAATTGCTCAAAAGCAAGAAAAACGATATTAAATAGGAGTGAGATAGAAAATTGAATTGAACTAAAGGCAGACAAAAGCGGAAGTCAATTAAAGAGTCGGCATGAATTCTGTTACTGCTATTATTATGATATAATATGAATGTTGACACAATTTATCGATCTATTTTTTTTTTTTTCGGGCACAACGTAACGTTGATATGTTATTATAGTCATCTATCATAATATAAAATATCAAATCAACAATTTCTTTATTGAACGAAAGAAACGTCATTAAATATAATAGACTTCTGATGATACTATAACATTAAGTCGATTGTTTTGGACGTCACAAAATGGAATAATTTTGGTGGAAATCACAGTCAGTTTATATTTTTTTTCAAGTTCAACATTTTTAAAGGTTAAAAAAATATTCACTTAATTACTTTTCTTTCCAATCGATAACTTCGTCACTAGACAACATTTAATATCTTTTTGTTAATTTTTTTTTTATTTACACTTTTTCTATACTAATGATTTTCACAATGAAATAATGTGCCCAAGTGGATGAAATGCTATATGGGAAGCAATTAGAATTAATTATTTAATTATTAAAAGTAGAAAGAAGCGCAATGATAAGGCTTTATTGATGGGCTATAAAGAGATTTACGAGTATTGCATTATCTTTAATAAAAGATAAAGAAAATAAACGAATGTATATTAAATGATAATATCTGAAAAACTAAATTTAGAAGCAGATTCATAAAGATTCAAAGGCATTTAAAAATTTTAAAAACAAAACCAAAGTGATTAATGAATCCCAATGAATATTAGCATAATTAAATTAAAAATATTACAATAGAAACATGTAAAATCATTTATCTTAAAACATTTTCATGCTGTTTGGTATTCGCATGTGGTTGAAAGAAACTTAACTGTTTTCTCTAACCGGTTTAAAATAAATGATTTTAAGGAGCTAACCAAAACTGTTTATCTTCTAAAATCAGAAATGTCTCCTTTCTTTTTCAGTTTCCATTGTATTAAAAATCCTCTTTTACCTCAAACCATAAAAAAAACTTATTGTTATTAACAAAGAAAAACCTTTCTTATTATTTTGTAAAGTATCCAGATTCCTTTATCTGATGTTTGAGACATCAACCTTGTCTTCTCTTTTTGATTATCTATCCATTTGATATTATTCGGATCAATAGCAACATTAGAAAACGAGTGAAAAACGAGAAAGAAAAGCAAAGTTTTTCAATATAAATAATTCAGATAAGTTTTTAAAAAAGTGGACAGGGATAGATAGAGTAATGTTATATTTACCATGTGAATTCCACAATAAAACAATGAAATATCTGTTTAAAAATAAAATGAAGGTCGAGTTCTAATGAATCGAATCGATTTACAAAACTGGTTTTTAGACATAGATTATAAAACGACTTTTACATTGTACACAAATTTTTCTAGCTTTCAAATTAAAATAACTTTGGGAAAATTAATACACTTACTAATATCTTATTGTAAAAGATGTGTTCTAGAAATAAAAATGTTTGCTTATTTAATTTCGTTACATTACAGGATTACAGCTCCCTAAGTTTTCATAACAAAAAGGGAAGTGAAATTGAATATTCAAACCTGAAGAACATTCTAAAGGATATTTTCTTTACATTTGTATCATGAAAAAGTCATCAAAATCAAGCTGAGAAAATCAGCTTTATTCATATACATTCTTATTCCGTGAATAAAAGAGCCTGCTTGTATTTTTTATATAATAACATTATGTTAAATATGAAAAGGAAAAATAAAATTGAATTTCCTCATGTATGAAAAGTTCTGAATTGTGTTGAGAAAAAAGGGAGAAATGAAGGAAGTAAGATTTAGTACAACAAAAGTTCATAAAATAATAATCGTAATAGAATTACATTTTTGCTCCTTCTCATAAAAAAAAAATTCCTTGAAGTAAAAAGTGAATTTGTGTAAAAATTGATTGGCATTATAATTTCGTAAAAATTACAATAAACAACGCCAATTTCTTTTTATATGAATCTTCAGTACCTTAATAGAACGAGTCACACTTTTAACCTTTTTTGAATTTTTACATTTGCATAAAATGTTCACGAAAGGGGTTTTTTGAGTTAATTATAAGGCACTCTTTATATAGGAAAACAATTCTTGTGACATAAAAATCAATTCAACAAACAATTCTTTTATGTACTGCGATAATTCGCAAGAGATTTAATTTTCCAATTTGCTTTCGGTAACAATTTTTTTTTATCAAGA